TGACAATAATAGTACATGAATTAGTAAAAGAGTAAGTACATAAATACAGTTAAAAATATCAAATATTTAAAGGCACACATAAGCGAAACAGATAATGTATTTTAATATAATATATGCATACGGCGAAAATAAAAAYGAAAAGAAATGTATTAACAAAAAAATACACAAAAATCTACACTTTCAGTTTAAGAAATAACCAGAAAATATGTAAACCAAATATGCATACTATTTAGAATTTTCAAACTCATATATGTACATATATACAATTGTATATTCACATGCGCTTCTGTCCATATGTATAAACACGAGAATTTACGCAAAATTGTGTCTTATTTTAACAAGCAGCTCATACAAAAACATTCCCAGTGTAAAAAAAACAACAACAAATACCAATGCATTGAAATCTCCGCAAGAGGAACAAAAGACCTACGCGAATAACATACACACATCAAACTCATGAATTCACATCAAATAAAAGCAAAACGAATGTGATATTTATACATAATTTCAAAAATTTACGCTTAATGTGATTGAAAGTGCATCAGAACTCGTGAAAACACGAAAAATCAAAAMTTCATCGTTTAGAAAAATATATTCATCAGCAACGAGAATCGCGATAAACTCATCAGTTTTACAAAAGCAAAAAACATTTAAAAATAAAAATAAAAACTCAAACATATGTGTATCTATGTAAACGAAACGCTCGAAGCATTCGCGAATAAATCCATAACTCTCAGCGTGTGCGTACTAACATAAATACCTGCACGCATACACACATGTACATTTATGCGCATAACGGTGTGTTCTACAAGTATTSGCCAACATCAGCTTCATTCAATGTGTAACAACTGCATCCGCACCCCCCGCGCARCCAGCATAAGCCAACACAACGCGCATCTATTTATTTAGTACAACAACAACATACAGCGATTACAACTATTTAAGCATTCTCATCGAACATACCAAATCGCAACTGACATTTGACATTTAATACAGCGACCCAGGCATCTAGCACCAACAACAAAAAACATCGTCATCGGCAACTGCGTTCAACGGCAGCCACATTTCGATACATCGATACATACAGACATCACAGCAAGTGTGCGAATTGACACCTACTTGCCAAGGCGCRTACCCCAGGCCAGCCGAGTCATTTAGTTACGTCACTGCATCTGTCACCGCTCGCTAATAGCGGCGCTTGAGCAAACGCRTCGCATTGACTAGCGCTAAGTCAGTTAGTAAGTCAGTCAGTCAGTTGGCCTCAGCCTCAGTTCTCTGCAAAGACAGCAAGAAAGASTAAAATAAGAACACGGTCACGTCGTTGGAGTGTAGCCGAGCGAATTTTCGAGCGCTGAGCCAATAAAGCCAGAGAGCACCAGCTGCAGACAACGAGAAGTGGAAAAAGTGTTTCTTTTGAACGGTAAATGGATGTTTTGTGCTCCAAAATAGAACTTTTACTACAAATTCATGCGGTTCTTGTTTGAATTAAATTCACTATTTGAAAAAAAAAAAAAATTGTCTAAAATATATTTTTTTCGTCTTAAAATTAAAAGAATTGAATGGAAAAAAAAATTAATTAAATTAGTTAAAAAATAAAATATATTAAAAAATTTAATTAATTAGAATAATTAAATTAAGCACACAAATTAAATTAAACTAATTTTTTTTTCAATTTAAATTAATTACTTCAATTTTTTTTTGTTTATTACATTAAAATATTATCCTGCCGTCATTGCAAAATTTTTGGGAGATTTCCCTGGTTTGAAAATAATAATGTTTAATAGTAGTCTTTCTAAATTTAAGTCTTAAAAATATATCAAATAAATATAATTTTTTATAGACAGAAATCACTTTAGTTTCTCAAATTTTTTTAGCAATAATAATGTCAAACCTCGAAAATGTTCTGTTAAGTAAAATGATATCTTCTAAATTTTGCTTTATAGTTTTTACAAATAATCCCAAAAAATAGTAATATATAGTATTTTAATGAATTTATGAGAACACAGAACCTCAACAAATCGTTCAACAACTTCTGATGCGCTGTAAAAATTTTTTTTCAGCATAACAATATTGTTTCAAAAAATTTCAACAGCAAACTGTATCAAAATTATTTTTGTTTTATTTTCAAAAAAATTGTGCCATTAGCTTTCATATATTTTAAATCAAAAAATATTTTTTATATTTCTTGGATTAAGAAAACAGAAAATTTAAAAAAAGTAATAAATATTTACGATTTTTTAAATTACAATATACTAAAAATTAAAATATAAATCATATAAACATCTGCTTATGCACATGTAACGAACAAGCCSCTGAAATGTAGTAAAATTTCCTGCCAAAAGAAATTTATGTGTATGTCAAAATGACTTAACCATTACCATCAAGCGTCATGCAAACCAAAACATGCCTAAATACATACACATGCACATGATAAACTATCGCTCATAAATTGCACATTACTTCGCATAATCAATAACGGGAGTCAATAAGAAATAATTAAAAATAAATAAAAGCTGTTGCACCGCGCTCAAAAAATGAATACCTGTTAATAACAGTTCAGTACACATTATTATAAAATATCACAAACAGAAGCATATCAAAAGTAGACTTAACAGATCTCTAAAATCAGCTGTTAAATACATAGCACTGTAGTACTTACAATTCTATGTTATATTCTGTGCTAAAAATAATATTTTTAGTCAAGGCGTTTATATGAATTTAGGACGGATTTATAAATGTTTAAATTTATATAAATATTTACTATGAACTTTAGCTACGAACATTTAAAAGTGTTTATTTTACATAAGCATATACGTATATATTTGAATGTAACTGTACATACATATGCTCATCATACACTACTCTTCTAACTACTCGCAAATATCGAATTTATTGAACACTTACGCCATTAACATCGGGTTAATTTTGACGTAACTACTCACCAACTAGTTACACACATAATCGCACATAAAATTCGCCTCGCACCAAAAATCGATGGAAGTCCATTTCGCTGCTGCTGTGTAAAAAAAAAGAAAAAAATCAAAACAAAAAGAAAACATAAGAATTAAAATATTTACATATCGTTGTTGTTGTTGTTGTCGTTGTCGCTTATACTCAAACTAAAAATATCTATATCTCTACATATATATGAATAATATAATTTAAAAAAATGACTAGATAAAAATACACGCCAACATAAATTCATCAAAGGAAAGGAAGAGCATTAACCAACTCGAAGGCCTCACATAAGTTATAGGTTTTATGAAAAAGTAAGACTACTAATAATAACCCGCTTTCGAAGTGTAATGTCTAGCACGAACAGAATTTATTTCTAGAAAGCATCAAACTCATTAAATGTACCTAATCGCCACTTTGATCATCAATAAATCATCGCCACTCTCGCAATGTGCTCTCTCTCTCACACACTATTTTCTATGCATCAAATAATCATGGGCATCTGCAAACAACAGTAAATAACTAATCTCGTTTGCCACCACCAACCAAAAAAAAAAAACATCTATGTATGTATCTATGTACAACAGTCAGTCAGTCAGTCAAATTCATTGTGCGTGTAACGAAATCGCAAAACTCAAATAAGCAATGAAAAATCAACAATAAAGTAATTTTTTATTTTTGTTTTTCTATTTCTTTTCCCTCTCTTTCTCTTTCGCTTGCGTACTTGATCGATTGACGATTTAACAAAACAAAAAAGTTTAAGAGAAAAATATAAAACAGCCAGAATAAGTTTACGCATACCCATCTAAAGCGTAATTGCTAGTGCAACAACCAACAACAACAACTACGTATATTGTTACATAAATAACTAAGAACAAATAGTGAAATGCGACAACAGCACATAAGAGTCTAGCGAAGACACAAACCATTGCGGGAAAATTAAGTGAAAATTGGCAACAGAGCAAGCCTCCAAGACACAGAAATGCTCTAAAGAACACTGACTCCTATTGAACAGGAAATAAGAGAAAAAGTGATTAAACTTAATGCGAACAATTTGAGGTATTGCAACGGAGAAATCTTCAGAAGTGAGCCACGTGGCAGAAAAGCACAAAAAAACTAAAATATATAGAAAGATTAAAAAATATCAAGCTATCAACATAATTCCGGCCATTTGCAGCAACCCTACGCCCATTAAAAAAAAATTATAAAAAAMTTTGCATATATTTAATTGAAAGACTGAAAGCTCAGAGAAGCCACGGCATTAGTACCTATTAAACGCACACATTCGCATACGCATAGAGCAAGCAAAAGGACACATTTGTTGCTGTTACAGCACGCGCACAACATGACCCAACCCAACTCACCTGCAACGCTACAGCAACAGTTGCAAGTGCAGGCGAACTGCAACGGCTCGGCAGAGAGCCTCATGAGCAACGCYTTCGACTTGATTGGCGGCGCAAGCGCCGCGCAGCAGTTCTTGAATCACATGGACTTGTATGCGCAACAACAGCGCCAGCAACAACAACAGTTRAACTATCTGCAACAGCAGCAACAACAACAGTTGCATTCACAATCGTTGATGGCCAAGTCACCGTCCACGTCGCCGACCAACTTCGGCAGTGGCGGCAGCAGCAACAGCAGCAGCCACAGCAACATCACAATTACCACCAATAATTTACATACAAACTATAATCAACAACATCACCAACAACAGCAACAGCAACAACATGTCGCCGCAGCAGCAGCGGCAGCGGTGCAACAGCATTTAGGCAATAAGCATTCCATATCGTTGACATCATCGCCAATCACATCACCAACCAAATCGATACTCACACAAGTGGCTGCGGCGGCCAGCAGTGTMGGTGCTGGTGCCGTTAGCGCCACCAGCACAGCAACCACGTCGCCGCCGTCATCGTCGCCGCCAACCATCCTAAATAATTTCAATTCACAACACCATTTTAATCTGCATCACAATAATCACCAGATGGATTTACAACAACAACAGCAGCAGCAACAACTGCAGCAGCAGCTACGTGAGCGCGAAGCGGCCAATAGTGGCCTCAACAGCAACAACAACCAAACAAACAACAACAGTCCAAATGGCGAACGCCTCTCGAATGCCACCGCCATGGGCACAATCACGCCCACTGGCGGGCACAGCCCCAACGGTGGCGCACATCATCAGCTCCAACAGCAACAGCAACAGCAGCAGCAGCAGCAGCAGCAGCAGCAGCAGCACAACCACGCCCTGGTGCAACACCAGCATCATCATCATCAACACGGCAACAGCACATCGCCGTTCAAGCCGCCCAGCTCAGCTTCCTGTTGGTGTTATGGTGAGTTCCGTTTCCAAATGCTCTTTTGCTTAAACACTCAAAAAACAAAAAACACAAAAAAAAAAAAAACAATCAGAAAATCAGTAAAAAAAAAAGAAAAGATACATTTCAAGCACCATCTAAGCATCAAAGCATTATATACACCGCCAGCAGCAGCAGCACCATCAGTGCCTGTTGCCGCAACATCGTCGCCTTGCTCGTGTTGCTCGTCTGTTTCGCAACATTTGCTCTGGCCTCATCTCATCAACGTGCTGACTAGCTTTCGCTCCATTGTTTAGGTTTACCCAATAAACAGGGTTTCCATTATTGTTGTTTTTGTTTTTTAGTTTAAAAAGTGGAAAGTGAGAAATTGCTATTTTTTACTATTTTTACCATAATTTTACATTAACTATACATTAAATTACAGTTAATGAAGGGCGCACGGGAATTATAATTTTGTTAAAGAAAAATTAAATGTCACGAAAGACTTGAAGAATAATTCTTCTTTAGCTGATGATATAAACAAACATTTTGAAATTTCAATAGCATCTCATATAAATTGGTGCATATATGTGCTCATGTGTGTATGTACATATGTGTTGTTCTGTGTGCGTGAGCTTTGCTTAAGCTCCTTGCACCCAACTCAAATAAAACGCAGATTTTTGTAGACAAATGGGCACAATGGAGCACACATACTTAGAAACATGTAAGTATATATACTTACATATGTAATAAAAATATATATTTATAYAAATACGTGTGTTTGCTTACACTTTGGATCTGCATTGCGTAACAGCCTTCTCACCGAGGGCTTGTTAAGCTGYTCAAATTTTCCCCAAAGCACCTTCGTCGTTTTGGCATAATAAGTTGTCAATATGTGTTCGCCTTGTGCTTGAGCGCGCGCAATGTTTGTTGCTATGTTCAGCATGCTTGTGTAAGTATGCGCGTGTGTTTGATTACAAGAATTTATGAGCAGGTGGAGATAACATTCAAGATATTTTTGAAATGCTTACAACACCACGGGATATGTGGTCATAAAATCAGTTTAAAAAATGTATATATGTATATAAGTATGTATATACACGTATACAAATACATGTGTTCATTTATATATGGAATTTAACTGAACTTATTTAATTTTGACAACATTTTGACACTTTAGAGCGCATGTTTATTATCGCCATRTATTAATTGATATATGAAACCGGTCGAATATAGTGTTATATTTCATTTATTATTTCCAAGCAGTTAGATATGCCTTTAGTGACAGATTTTCTACACACTAGTATAACTGGTTATGCTTAATTTATGGCGAGTAAGCCTGCTCTGGCTTGGTTTTTCATATCTCGACTTCGAAATTTGAAAATTCTACCAACATAGCACACAAATTACACATGCAGCCTTCAACGAGGTTATTAAAAATTGTATTTATACAAATGTATGCAGAAATTATGTTGTCAAATACATACCTATTTACTTTTATTAAGCGCCTGCTATAAGAATATTGAATTATAATTACTTCCAATTGTTTGTTTAATGTTTCTTACGTAAACAAAAAATATCTCTAAAACTATTCACCTTCTCTTAAATATTTTCTTTATTTATTACACGCAAAAATTWTGTAATATTGCTTCATTCGTATTTCTTTCAATTTGCCGCATTTACCATATTTATATGCGAACCTTTTCAAGGTTGCGTATACGCCATGTATTGCACCATAAACAATTTGGGTCGAGTGACGCCGGTAAACTTATTTATTTGGTTAAAAAACGTGGGTGCTTGCTGAATTATTTTTGAAAGTGGTGACTGGTATATTTTGGCGCTGAACTTTTGACAAAAAAGGCAATCAAGTTGCTTCAGGTTAAATGAAAATGGAAGTGTGTTCAAAGATACTTACCCACTTAAATAATAATAGTATTTGTATTTCATAATGAATTATTTATAGCGCTGGTAAACATGAACAAGTGAAACAGCAATAAACCYGAAAAGTTGTCTAAATATTTGTTGGCTGTAATGGTTGGTGTTCTCACTGCTCACATTCGCTCTGGCACAGCTTTCAATAACACTGTTTGCATTTAGAAATTACTTGCGTTCGCCATAAAGAAAATATCTAGGCAATGAGTAATGAATGTTTAAATAAATTAATAATAAATCAAATAAATTTATACTCTTAGCAGTGTTGCGAATATTTTAATTAAAAAAATTGGAAAATGCGAGCATTTATTATTAATACATACTTGAGTCAGAATATAAAATTGGGAAAATAACTTTTGATTATAAAATTTAAGTAACAAATATTAACTTTTTTTTTGAAATAAAATGAAAAGATTTACATGTTTTAATTTTTACATGTTAAAATTAATTATAATTTCAATTCTTATTCAATGTTATCTTTGCAGGAATGACCCATAATACCTTACTTAGGTTTCCATATTATTACACATACGCAAACATTATATTGAAAAATATTTTGAGTGATTTTTGTTATTTTTTTATAGAAGATATTAAAAATTCATTCAAACTACATACCTTTCATTTTCCAATTATAAAAAATATCCACAAAACTAAGAACAAGTGCGGGAGAAACTTGTGTTTGTCTTTTGTAGACAGTGAAACTCAATACTTATGTTTAAATAGACCTTCAATTAATTATTTATTATTTCCGAATTTTATTTATTTATTATTTTCTTCAAACAAAAAAAAAATTTTTTTGACAAATTTCTATACAAAATGGTATGTTAACCCTAATGCTTTGAGTGTGTTTAATAGCATATATTGAAATTTACGAATAAAGAATTCGTTTAAATTTCGCAAATAACTCAGCATGTCGTTAAAGCTCATAAATCACAGCAACAACATGCATTTCGACTGGCTGGCATAGAAACAAACAAATAACCAAGTCTATTAAATATATTTATACCCAAGGAAATGTGCTTTTCGAACAAATAAACAAAAACCGTTAGGCGCTTGATAAACGTATTACACAGTCATATAAACATAGATGAATAGAAACCAATACATGTGAAACTATATGAGCTAGTGTGCGTGCATGCCCGTGGCGACTTAGTTCATTGTCTTTGGCAGCATTCCATTGCGACATTCTCTGTTGCGGTAGCCGGGATATGGATTAGAAGTCTCGTAAAATAAAACACATGCCAGATAATTATGCAAATAAATATGTTTCTTATAAAATGTGTGGCAGGCGAAACTGAATTAAATATAATATACAATATGTATATATATATTTGTATATTTTATTAAACTGAGAACACGTGAAGCAGGCGTGACTATAAGCATTTGATTTTGATCTCATTTGATTGGTGCATTGGCACCTACACAGCAGCATTTAATTTGACGCTTCGTGCTTTATACCAACAAGTATTAACGTACGTAACGTTTTCTAGAATTTCTGTCGAATATGTAAATATTTTCTTTATTTATGACTTGCCGCGCACTCTCTGGCGGCAAGTTTGTTGCTCCATTTCATAATTTGCCTTTCCGTGCATTCTTTTCGCACAATTTATTTTGATTAGCCGCTCGCTGGTGTTCTAATTTCCATCMAAACTTTTTACCTGCACCATTTTCGTGCACCATAAAGATTAGTCAAAATGTAAAAATGTACTCGAATATGCGTGCGTTTATATATAGTTTTGAGTGCATTTGGAAAAAATACATTTTTGAATATTTAATATACATATGTATTATCTTAAGTGCAGGCGAATTTGTGACGATTTAGACAAGCCACATGGATTTGTAGACTTATTTCCCAAGAAACCATAAATAATGCAACGTTCCATCGATTTGTATACGTGTATTCAACATCACGTCATTAGCAGAGGAGTTTATTCATTCTCATTTTTCGCAGTTTGGCACCATTCTAAGTATAGCCAGGTCCTTCTCCACCCACTTTTCCCGATGGAGATCTTCTTCTGCTTCCAGCCAGCGTAGCTGGTGTCTCTTAAGGGGTTAATCGCCTACAAAACAGCCTGTTTTAAAAATATTCTTATATAAAAAATGAAATGAAAATATTTTATTAGAATTTTTTATTGTTACTAATACGCTATTAACAAAAAAATTCTGAATGTTTTGGCCAATGAGACGCCGATCCTTCGGAAAAAGATGCGTCCGCGTTAGCAGGATCACTCCTTACAGGATCAWCCAAGTGAAAAAATACGTGTTTTAGTTAAAACTCAGTCTCAAGAAAAACGCGTTTAAAGACGGGGCACCTACCCTCGAGCCCATAAGTTCCTTAGGCTGTATCTCGCATCAACTTGAAAAATTAAGACAATATTCTAAAGGCTTTGAAGGTTTTAATAAGACAATAAAAAATTATTATTTTTTGTTTTAAACTCGTAAACCCATGTAATTCCTTAATTCTCTGAACTATGTCAAAGTCGTCGTATATCTCGTACAATTCATCGTTCCTTCGACTGTGGTATTCGTCATTGCCAATGCGCAAAGGCTCATAAATCTTCTGCAGAACTTTTTTCTCGAAAACTCTTAACGCCAACTCATCAGATGTTGTCATCGTTCATTCCTCTGCAAGATTGGTTATGTTAATGGATACATTCAGTTCGATTTTAGAAATGAAAAACTATGAATCTTCAGTTTTTGTTTGATCAAATTTCAAAGTTTATTATAATATTTCCAGTATATTCGCTTATGTACACAAAGATAYAAGAATAAAATGTATTTCATCAATATATCTAGGTTTCTTAATATTTTTTGAGAGTTTCGAACTTTCTTCTACCTAACTTTTAAAATATTAGATCGAGGAAGTAACCTACTCTATTCTACATCGGTAGTTCGCAAAGAAGAATTTTTCGAAATTAATTTTTGGCGGCATAAAATATATTAATAATTATTTTGATGTGTGTATTTACATTCGCTAAAATATTAAAAAAAAATATATGTTGAGTGCCTTAGACGTTTATATTTAGGATTTAMGCTTTGTGTGAATGAAAAATGGATTTTTGGAACAACTGTGGCATCTTGCACGTAGCTGCTTAGATCAATTTATATATAAATAAGTATATATATGTAGATTTATATGCACATATGTACCTATGTTTTTGTGATTTTTTAATGAAAGCATCTTAAAAAGAAGTGAGGCATATGACTACAACACTAACAACAGGTCTTGTACATTTATTTGTACASAGAAAAATTATTACGCAATTATTACGTCCCTCATTAAAACTGTCTGAAACTATAATAAAATTAGTTTAAAAGTTATTTAATCGGACCAAATTCAATTTAATATATTCACTATTATTTTATTATTTGCGCTTAATGAAGTTCTTCAATTTTATAACAGGGTTTGACAATTGTCAAAAAAAAAGTGAGTGACAATGAGTCAGGGTTGTGCGGAGAAGTCATTTATACGAATTTGTAATGCGAGGGGGTTATGAGTCAGTCCTTTGTCTTGCCTAGTTATAGAGAGAGAGAGAGAGAGAGAGGTAGAGTGGCTGTCTACCGACGCATTAGACCTGAAACTCTCAATTTATACTCAATTATGCAAGGTTCACTATAAGCCTTCATATTGTGAAGCTTGTAAAATTTAGTAGATAAGAAAGTTAATCCAATAGTATTGCCAAAGATCGTGAATTACGTKCTTATAATTTGCTTACAACAAAATATTAGCTAGAAATAAAATTTTTGATTGCAAAATAATTACATTTAACTCAAAAGTATTGTTTTTGAATATGAATTTCACATAAATATCAACTTCAAGCCCTTCTGCTGATTAAAGCGACTAAAAATAGTCAAGCCAGACAGYGTCAGCTGTCAGCTGAGATCAACTAAGATGTCAACTGTCAGAGCGTGTCAAAATCGCAAATCCAAGGTGCATATTTCGTCTCTCTCTTTATTATAATTTACTGATAAATATGAAAAAAAAAATTGCAATGCTCACTCTAATTGGCATGCCCCAAATTCTTGGCAGAAAATCAGGCAAACATCTGTTTATAATGTTATAATAGTCAAAATGTTTCGAACCAAATTTATGTTTTCCTGCTTAGTTCAAAAACTTTAAGTTCTTAAASAAGCATTTTGTGAGAAATTGGTTTACACTAATTGAATTACAAATTGCTTACGAATTCGGGCTATAACTGCATACCATATACTCATGTGTACGCATATACATATAGTATGTATCTGAATTATTGCTGTCGGCGTTAGTAATTTTTTATTCGCACTTCTCCGCGGGCTAAAGGCTTTCTCGCATTTTTTTACATAATCATTTACATATTTACAAACATCTGTGTACGTACACATGTATGTAGATATGTAAGCATGAGTACAATTCTTTGGYCTGCTCCTACATTTATTTGGAGCACACTCGACACTTCTGCTATTTGGGTCTTTGGGTATCTGTGCAATGTCATTTTGTCCTCGCTCGGCTCTGTCGCATTTGAACACSAATGTATGAGTGTGTGTGGAAATGGTTTCAGTTCGCAACTTGTATCTAATTAAAAACTAACGATGTAGCGCAGATAAACAACAACAACAAAGCTAAAGGAAAACTGAAATCAAAAAGTAAAAGTAAAAAGAGAATATAGAGGTGTACTTAGACACAAATATAAAATTCTGAAGGGCACGTGTGTGTTTTATGCAAAGACACGWACGAAATGCAGAAGCCGAAAGAGCACGGGATGGCGACTAAATTAGAAATGCAATGTGAACAAGTAAGAAAAGAAACAAAAATGGAAATGCCGCAAGGCAGCAAGGCCGAGAGGGAAATATAGAAAGAAAAGTTTCGAAATGTTATTGCGCAGGCAAATACCAAAAAAAGCAAAAAAAAAAAAACAAAAAGTACAAAAGAAAGCAAATAGGTACGCATTAGCGTTAATAAATAGTAACGATGGCTGCAGGAAATATGATGTATATAGGAAAATAAAATGTGAAAGCAATAAAAATAAAACAAGAAAAGTGGTGTAAGCTTTTTTTATTCTATTTTATCCACTTCTTATCAACTTTATTTTCTACGTTTTAAATTTAACACTTTTCTTACGTGCCACTTAAGTAAGAAACATTTGCAGCCAAACTGCTGACACCTTTGAACTCAATGACAAATTACAAAAATTCGGTGTCACACTGTCTCATTACTTTATCGCTTTTACGACCCGCTGACCTGAACGCTGTGCACGCGTCGTGACCTAAATATGGTRCACACATCCATTTAAATGATAAACGCTGGCTAGTTAGGATCTGCTAGCACTTACTTTGTGTGTGCTGCCTGTAAGATTGTGTGTTTTTTTGTTGTGTATGTTTAAGAAACTGTAGAAAATTGTGATTTTGGGGTCATCAATAAGGTTGTCCCTTGTAAATATAAAGTATTTTTCAAAATTTTATTTGCTTCAGAAACAACACTAGAAGTTGTGAATGCCTCTGATTTATAGCTAGAGAAACGTATAAACGTATAAGTGTCTTGCAGTCACACAAGTGTGCAGTCAAACACACACATTTTTGAAAGCGTTGTAAGTTTGATTTGCAAGTGAAAGTGAAAGTGAGSGGCTAAAACACCTGACTTTTCCACTTTTATTAAACTAATTTCATTTTATACTGAAACAAAATCGCTAACAAATTATTAATTTAGTATAGTACTTTAAATATTGGAGAAAATTAATTTTTATTTGAAAACCATATAGGTGTAAAGAGATATACGCCTAAAATGATACTTTAATTTTCGGAAAAAATCGCAACATTTCTGTCTGGGTTAGTTACATTTGAATAGAAATTCCTATAAAACTATTTGCGTCATTTTCTAAAATTTTT